AGTTTAAAAAATCCTTTCACTCCACATAGACTGGGATATTTAGTGGGTTAAATTTATTGACGGCATTGTTTTTTTTTTTTAAGCTAGACAAGGTAGATATATTGAAAGCTTTTAGTTACTTTTTAGAGAGGCCTCATCTCGATCTTTTTTTTAGATTTTATTTCAGTTATTTATTTAGTAAATTAATTAATAACAACTAATACAGACGACTATAAATAGACAATCCCTGTTCAAAGCTAAGCAAACTTCTATGTCCGCTCAAAATTTAACTCTACCATGTTATGTTACACTCATGGCCTTAAACGTTAATATTGCTCTACAAATGATCCCAATTTAAGTAAAGTCGCTTCTATTCAACTTATTATCAACCTATGAATGGCAAATCGCGTAACGCGCAGTCATAATCGCTCGGAAGTGGGCGCGGCGCGCGCGCAGACAAAGCGATGAATTATGCAGTAGGATGCGCGCCTTTGGCGAAAGATCCGCATGTCGCTTATCACGGAATTAGTACCTTTTACTAGCTAATTTACCACTAACTTCAATTTTAAGTGAAATATAAAGAAATATAGCCCTGAAAGTCAAGCACATAGATCGGATCGACTCTACTGGCCAGTTGACCACTCAAGTACACGTGCGATTCAATGAATGCGATCCATCTCAGTAGGTACCAAAATTCTTTTGTAACATGTAATAGTGTCGATAATTTAAACTGTGAACCTTAAATGTAATGACCGACTAAGTCCAGAAATTGTAATAATGCGCGAAGGTAATTCGCTGATTTAGCCGGTAAATAGGACGTCCTGGCCCGAATCCACCTTGAGGCGATTTAGGCAATTCGTGTCTTTTGCGACACTTAGGTACTTTGCTCATTGACGGGCTGGTCGGAAAATGAAGTCCATTTAAAGATAAACGGAGTTTTAGATATTCACAAGGTGAAGTCTTCAGACACGCGAACCGGATTATGACAAAAGAAATACGAACATCTAGCTAGGTATACAGCAAGGTCGAAGGATTCCACTTTGGACCTATTAGCTGAATCTGTTCCATCAGGGACGGTGGAACCATTGTACCTACAAGCTTTGTACATACCATCTATCGCAAAGTGGATTGGAAATGAGGGACCTACAGAAAAGTTAGACGTAGTCGTAGTTTCGGATACTTTGGCAAAACTGGAAATGCCCCGACACATTTTTAAATCTCGGTAGTATTAAGCGTACCTATTACTTAACATTACAATATAGCATGTTCCGTTTCAAAAACAAACCAATTAATCATCTTAGTATTACAATGGCATTTCAACCTTCGATTCGTCCAACTGAACTTGAAACCTAAGTGTTTATTATTCGTCCAATATCGGTTAGTAGCATCAATAATCGGTTCCTAGAGCCTGCCGCGTCAGCTGATTTGCACACAATGATACAAAAACGCGGTGAAGCAACACTAGCTTACCAACCGATTGCGCTTTCTCATACTTACAATAGGCTAAGGCAAACACAGTCATTCGCTGTTTTTGCTAATAAAATCAAGAAAATTTCATAATAGTCGCGTAAACCGCGTAATTAAGTTGTATTGTACGGTAACTCGCGTAACAGATGCAGTCAACAACACACAATATCGTGTTTTGATTTTAAAGTTGTAAAGTACACATTGATTTGTTATTATTTTAGATAGAGGTGCGTAACTTTTCCTTTAGTTACTTGAATTACCTTCAAAAAAAATTTTTGGCGTTATTGTTCTCTGGAATATAATTTCACAAGAAATTGTGATTATCAGTCTTCAAAGAAATCAAGTATAACGCTACTTCTACACTACACTATCTCTATCGGTGTGATCTTGTCCTTAAAAAGTTTACAAACAATGAATCTCTATCTAGAATCACAGTCTAGCTCACACACGCTAGAGTTGTCACGTCTATGTTCATAGGCATTGTGTTTCAGCTATTCTCAGCCTATTTCTCAAGTAGCTCCACATCAAAAACCCATCTAGTGATCTATGACTGGTATCACGTCCCAAATCAAGCGGCGATGGTAGTAAAGTCAACGTTTGCGTTTCTACAATCGCCAGGTCATCGCGGCTCACTCGGCCGGTGCCGATTTTATAGTCAGCACGATCAAACATTAGAGCTAGGCGTAATGTACAGTACACTGCTTATTTTTTAAGCACAAAATATCTGAATAATGTTCTTCTATTGGGTGCCACCAGATTCTGCCATGGTCATCCGGCGAAAGAACACGAAGGTTTGTCTGTAATGGGCTAAACCTGTCACTCTGCCGTAAGGTTTTATGATATTGTCAAGCTTCTTTTTTCTGAGTCCTTCCACTAAAAGATTATGTACTCTGGACCGTATTTTCACGGATTCGGAAAGGACGTAGAGCAAATCCGCTCTTATAGGTGAATATCGTTATCACCTTCATTGATTCTTTATTTATTTATTTATTTAATGAGCAACATTCTTGCAGTAATATGGATTAAATGTACGAATAGCTAACCGGTACTTCATGTACACGTAGCCTTAGGCTTAATGAATGAGTAGCTTGGATTGATTGCCGTGACTCATGCTTCACGAAGGGCTGAAGTTTTATTTCGCATGGCGTTCGGACATGAAATAAAATGTGACCTTTCAAGTGTCGGGCTAGTTAGTTCACAGTTCATCGTAACAGTTTCCATGCACGATATGTGAGGACCTTAACTGAAGTCTGCACGAAACTGTATAATAATAGAAGCGGTGATTTTGAAATACTCTTTGTATTAACTTCAATTAACGAAATAGGCCACCGGTGGACGCTATATTAATGAACGTTTTATAGTAAGCCATGTTTACTACTAACTTGCCGTAAGTTAGTTAGAATCCGTTTAATTGACAAGCGATGACGTGTCACCATTCTTCTGCAGTAAAACAGAGATGCTCAGTCAACTCATTTTTTTACAACCTAACCTTTCAGCTAGTAGTAAATGAAATTGTATGATGGTGTAAATAATTGTAGGAGTTTAACTAAAAAAACTTCGAAAAAATTATTCAACCGCCTAGCGCCTCTACTAAGTAATCATTGACGGTCAGCCAACTGATACGAAAAAGGAATACCTAATCAGGCACCGTATGAGTTTATGGCTATACATGTTTTATTACCTGTCTATCTTAAATGAAATTTATTATGCCGTTATAGTTAGTACGTTAAAAAAGTCGACTGCCTCTACTCCTACTGTTTCCCCGATCAAACCAGGGTGCGTAAAGTGTAAACACGAATTGTCCCAATTGAGGAATTGAGGCCCATGGACATCCAAATTGATAGAAACAGGCAACTACTTGAGATCTCCGGGATACGTGNCTATCGCCTTAATGTATCATTCCACGATTTACTCTTCTAGAGATAGATATGAAACATATAAAAGCAGTCAACAAAATCATTTTTTTACTGCATGAAACACACAATAAAAAGATGGACTTCTCTGCTTCAATATGACTCATACATCTCTTGAGGGACAAGTCGTGGAAAGAGAATTCCAACTTAGCGAAAACATCGATATGAATAACAAAAAAAAATAGGTTTGCGGTATAAATGACCAAAAATTAAATTAATTTTCACACACCATTATCAGCAAAAAAATACTTTTCGGAATGTGAATGATCTTTTAGTTTTCCAAATAAAATACTGGAAAAGAACTAGTAAGAGACACCAAGTACAAAGTATTAAACCTAAATCCAGCCCGACAGCAAATACAATCGTCATCGCGTATCAGTTAGGAATGTTATTAAGAAACTATTTCATCGAATTGGCAATGCATTATTTGAATGGCAAATGTTGGCTTCAAAAATATTTTGACAGGTCTCTTTGTATTTGCTGTCGAGTTACAGAATCTTATTGGGTGTGGAGACATTTCTCTCGTAGTCTTCAAGTCCGTGGTTTTAGTACGAAATCACTATGAACGCAATTTTGAAAAGAACACTTGAGTTGGTGATTGCGTGGGATGTTTTTTTCACATAGTGAATCACACATAAAGCAGTACAGATGAAAGTACAAAATTACACAGTGGTAAATGAATGGTTTTATTGCTTATGGCAACTATTACAGTGAGCTTGAGTTCTACTCAAGCTTTGGTAGGTCGAAAGCACATCAGACTATTAATATTTGTTGCAAAATTGAACTTAATTACAACATGACATTAAGATGAAAGATAATGTTTAGCTTGTGCTGTCGTCTACAAACTACGCAAGCCGTCGCGTGTTCCGCTTTTTTCTTGGGAACATATCCACACAGGTATTAAAAAGTGATTACAGCGGACGTTTTGCAGCAATGTAGACGTATATCTATCTAACTTTACACATTTGTTTCAGGAAATAAGATGATAATGTTCAGTTTGATGAGCTGTTGTGTGTCGCCAGAATGTCACCTACCAGAAGCACTACTCAACTGACTTTGAACCTTACAACTAATGCCGATTTTCTATAATCAATTCTTCTTTATCCAAATCCGTTCGTCAACTGTAAAATTTCAATAGGTTTTTGGTCGAAATATCTGTGGTTTTCGATGTTTTTACATTTTCATATTGTTTATAAGAGTATTTAAACAATAATTGAAAGCAAATTGAAATTTGACAGTTGAAGAACGAATTTGGACAAGAATCGATTTTAGGGTACCGGCCTACGAGCGCTTTCACATTAGGGCGTTAGAAGCGCGACAGCAGCGCGGCAGCGGCGTTTTATAATGTGAATGCATGCATCCGCTGTCACATAGTATGAAATTATCGCGCGTCTGTCGCGTGTTTGGCACGCTGCTAAAGTCGCCTAAATGTGAAAGCGCTCTAAGTCAAAGTTCAAAATCGTTTGGTGTATAGTCTGGTCCGTGAGCACGTAGAATTTTGTCCAATGACCCCTAGCTACCCATCCTTATCGCTCGCGCGTAATTATATTGCTGTCGCGACTGTGCGACCCGCAGTGAGTGTGCGAGCGCTATAGCAACATAATTACGCGCGAGCAATAAGGACGGGTAGCGGACCGGGCTCACGGACCGGGCTTTAGATCAGCTTATGGTAGAGTCATCGGTGGAAGTGTCTGGGTGGTGCTAGGCCGGCGCGGGCGGCGGGTCGCGCGCGGCGAGGCACTCGTAGCCGTACTTGAGGATGTAGCCGAAGCGCGCGTCCTGCGCCAGCGCCGACAGCGCCGGCGCCGCCAATAGCTCCTCCGCGCCTGGCAGCACTAGCTCCACCTCGCCGCCTGGAGAGAACACCGTTTATTATAATAAGGTACTTGACACTAAAGTATTTAAGACATGTGGAAAACGCATTATCCTTTTTTTTTTCAGGAAAATACTTGAATTTTTATACCCACCAGCTACGGGGGCGGTTAGTGGGTTATGTGGGGTTCTCCCAGCCAGAAGGGCAGGATTTACCCACTAAAAACCTGACGTTGCCCTTGGTAAGCCATGTTTATTCCTAGTTTCACATAGCACCCCAGTTGAAGGTCAAGATGCGGAACACAGCCACGCCTATAGTGTTCGTTTACAAGTTCTAAATTGCCCTATGATTTTCATTTAATTATTTTCATTTTCATTATTTCAGTCAATTGGAGTTCAAAGCGACCTTCACCCAGCGCCTTTGTGCGCACTTTAAACTTGCACTTTGGGGTGTGGTATTGACGCTGCACTTGCCGGTACCATGGCCAACAAGCTTATAATAGGTATGCGTTGTCTTTCACCAGACACTTACTTTCCAGCCCTATTTGCTTGATGCTCGATTGTTCTTTTTGGCACATGGATCAGAAAAATTTGTAGGGAGTCAAGCAAAGCGCCCGGGGAAAAGAGTCCAGAGCAAGTACCCGCGCGCTCTCCCGAGATTCGGTTCGTACGCCGTGAGGCAGGAAGAACCATGGGTGGTGGTGGGATTTGTTCTTTTTGGCGCCGTGACACCGTTTGCCTCCACTCTATCACTCTATTTACTTGGTACGCGAGTGACGTTAGCATAAGGAATGTAGTGTGTCGTCCTGTCTCCAGACATGCACTCACCCATGAGGTGCACGAGGTCGATGAGGCGGAAGAACAAGCGGCGCTGCAGCTCGTCGGCCGGCGCCTCCACGCGGCACGCCGCCCAGTCGTCGCGCACGATGCTCGCGCACCACACCTGCACACACAAATGATATAGAACACACTTATCGGTGAGGGTGAGTGACAGAAATATTTTTATTTCTTTACATTTAAGAGTAGGCGCACACCGTTGATTTTTCGTCGGCCGATAGTTTAGTCGGGCTGTTGATCAGTATGGGTNAATATTAAAAAGTTAACTGTTTCCGGTAGAACGTCCTTCCCTCTTCCGGCTATGTACGAACAAGATGTGTCTGTGTAAGAACCCGAATAATAAATGCTTACCTCGCTAACTATCGGTCTTTTCATTAAAGAAACACAAGTTCTGATATATTAATGAACGTTTTATAGTAAGCCGTTTACTACTTACCGTAAGTTAGTTAGAATCCGTTTAATTGACAAGCGATGTGTCACCATTCTTCTGCAGTAAAACAAACAGAGGTGCTCAGTAAACTCTTTTTTTTTACAACCTAACCTTTCAGCTGGTACCTAATTGTAAATGAAATTGTATGATGGTCTAAAAAATTGTAGGAGTTTAACTAAAAAAACTTCGAAAAAATTATTCAACCGACTCTACTAAGTAAGTAATTGTTGACGGTCAGCCAACTGATACGAAAAAGGAATACCTAATCAGGCGCCGTATGAGTTTATGGCTATACATGTTTTATTACCTGTCTATCTTAAATGTAAATGATTATGTCGTTATAGTTAGTACGTTAAAAAAGTCTACTGCCTCTACTGTTTCCCCGATCAACCCAGGCGACGTAAAGTGTAAACACAAATTGTCCCAATTGAGGAATTGAGGCCTATGAGCATCCAAATTGATAGAAACAGGCAACTACTTGAGATCTCCGCCTCCGGGATACTCTAAAGGATTTTAGGATAAAGTGGAACACACATGGTTAAATAAATCAAATTCTTTGACTCGTAGAAAACGCAAGTTCGCCAATTATTGAGTTTTAAGTCAAAATTAAATCTCTCCTTAAATACTTACATACTTTGTGGTTTTTGAATGTTTTATGCAAGTATGTTTAATAACAATGTAATTCCTGTGTGTCTGTCGTTGATCTCTGCCCCAAGAAAACAATAGAAAATATTAATGTTTTGACAAGGGTTCACGATGACAGTCAGTTGTTTGGAGACCCTGATGTCTCGCGTCAAGGTCCCAAAACATCAACATCCTAAAATATTGTAATAAATAAATATATTTACCATTTTCTTCAGTAAAACACTCAATGCTAAAGGCCATGTCTACTATTCTTTATTTAAACATTTCGTGTCGATCCTTCTTTTTGATTATATTTTGGTCCTAACTGTAATGTAGCAGGTTCCTTCAGAAACTTCTCATCCTACGTCTCCCAATAACTTTCATTCACCTAATTCGCCTAGGATATCCCTAAGCTAAGACTTTAAGAGCTACCCAAGCTTAAACACATAGGATAACCCTCTGTGGATAATATAACGAACTATGAACTTAAATTCGAGATTAAGATTCGCTATATCCGCATCCCCAAGTTACCTGAATTTATAATAGGACTCTATGGAAATCCACTGTCAATTTGTCACAAAGAAAAAGCCCTTTTAATTTCTCCTAAAGTATAATGCGCCACTTTCAGTACCTCTGATCTGAGTAATCAGCCGTCCTTTGAAAGTGAACTCTGGCGTGTCTGCTCTGGCGCAGCCGACACGCGAGCGTTTGCTTTCAATCAACTCAGGTGACATCGTAAAGACGCCAATATGTTCAGTAAAACCGCAATAAAGCTGGATACAGTAACCGTTTGGCAATGAACTTAACATCTTTAATCAATTAAAGTTAAGTAGGAATGTGGATTGACGGAATTATCTGAAATTATAGCGCATTGGCGCCATTTAAAATAAATAAATAAAATTTCAACGCAATGGCGTTCCATTACTGTTTATTTCTTGGTAGAGTCATTCAGAAAACGATATTTTTCTTATTATCTTACATGTAAACTACGTAAGTAGGTGTGTAATTCCTTTAACAACTTGAATGAATCATGAATTTATTTTCTAAAATATGGTTGTCCTCTTATATTATTTCCATTTGCTAGTATGTGGAGCGGTCCTTTAAACAGATTCATTTAAATCCTGCCTTAATACTAACATTGATTAATCAACTTATCGATTCACAACATTCACCACCTTTATCTTTTTACCCGAAAATCCTAAATCCCTTTAATCCGTCTGTCGGTTCGGCCTCCGAGACCATTAAAACAACTTGAAACGAACTACCTACGAATAAGTTTAGATAGGTTACCTACTCTTTGTTGTTAGAACGTTCAATATTTCGATATAAATAGATAAATAGTTATAATCCTTATTAACGACTATTTAATCCGCCTAAAAGATTATTTAAGCTTTAAACTGTCAATCCTATGACCGAGTAGAATCATTAATCACTTTATCACCGGCCTTATCATAGGACTACTGAACGTCCCAAATCCGGACATACTACAATAATATTTGTCGGCTCTCTTTGGATTAAGACATCATAACGACTTACAAGATTGATCGATTCGTTGAGCCTCTTGATAATATTCCGAAGTAAGGTTTGTAGGTACCTAATACTTCGAAAGAACAGCAAAAATAAACGAAAATTAGTTCCTTTATCAAAACGATTTTGAACTATCTTAAGATTCGCCTAACTCTACTTACCGCCCAAAACGCGAATGCAACATTTTTCTTTAGAGCTTACAAAGCTTCAGCTTTATAGAAAGTTTTCTTTGACGTTACGGGTTATTATAAACAGCTTTCGACTTGGGATTAGCAACTCTACCTTTTTCTCAATATAGAAACGTTGATTTTACTATCGGACTGGGCAGAGTAGAGGCTAGAATTTATTTTCTTAGCTGCTACACTGTTTAGTAGGTATGATTGGTGACTGACAGTGGTTAACGCCAAGAGAATTAGACATCAAACGTGCTTTATACTTCCTCTGCGTAAAAAGGGCTGTCCTCTGTGCCTACTAGACCGTGGCAGGCAATCAGCTACGCTATTACCACAGTTTACAATACACAAGGGTGTTACTTCATATTACGGCGCGTTAGTAGTCGCCGATAAATGACTTTGTTTAGCAAACTAACGTGCGTAGCTTTGCGCTTAAAGAAACTATGGATTGAACGCAGTTTTGATTTGACTCTACATAATTTTATTGCCTAACTCTATCTAGTTCGTTTTACAGAGCAATTTAGTGTAATATTTACGCTTTTTTACTAACTTGGAATCCAATAATCCCAAAAATAACATCTCTATCATAACTAAACAGGACGTAAGCAAACATACTAACGATAATATGATAACATTAACTTTTTACCTGAGTTACGCTAGTCAGTAACTAATTTACTTTGGATTATTATCGAAATATTACAAAAGTTTCGATAAAGTAATTAGGAACGATACGCGCAACATAAGAAAAGTTATGATAGACAATAAATCCTAAATCAATTTTACTTTTTCAAAATTTTGTGTATACACAGAACAAAACAACCTGCATAAATATTATATTAAACTAATAAAATTAAACTGCAAAGCAACAAAATCAGATTTGCAAAGCTCAATAACGTCAAAACTCACAAAGTCACAGCCGGCTTCGGCGATCGATCGGAGGGTGCAACTCCAACCCCTACTCACTGATTATAATTTTCAGTTTCCTAACTACCACTTTTTAATTTAGCACTATTCAGTCACTGCATTTATTTTCGTTGAGACGTAGCGATGTTAGTGCGACGATCGTGACCGACGCGGAGCATCCTTCAACAACCGCAATACGCATGCGTCTTGCGCGGCGGCGGCCACCCGACTGCTGCGCCGCTTTTATCTACCTAACTAACCCCTTCGGAATCTGGCGGGAAAACGCGCGGGAAATAAAGGAAAATGCCCATCGGTTTTTTAATTTTTATTACAAAATCTACTGATACATTGATTAATACAGAAATGAAAAGATAACAACAACGAATTCGTAAGTCTTTAGACCCGCTATTGACAAATCAACAACAAAATTAATATCAAAATAAACTTCATTTGAAAACAATTACATTAATCACAATCGAAACTTAAAAACTAAACATCTTTGACATAAAGTTAAATAATATTCGAATGGTTTTATAAAATGCATTAAAAATTGTTATACAAGTCCTGTGCCATAAGTTGATGATAGGTATGTATTTTTGATGATTATTCTCCTTACAATAAATTTTAATCTCCTCCGCAAAAATGGCTTCCAGACTGTGGTAAAGTTGACAATATGTGCGTTCATTGCGTTTCATATGTACTTATGCCTAATACTTACACGCTAAATTGCCTTAAAAATTAACTCCTTTCGTCCATCCCATTCAAAGTTCTTTCAAAATTCGCCTTTCAAAAGTTATGCCCATTAACAATCCAGATGTCGCTGTTATTCATAAAACAACCATGATTCAAACTGTCCTAATATCAGATTCATATAGCATAAGAAATCATGCAGATGGTGAAATTAATGGTGTATAAAAAATTGATTGATGATGATGATGGTGATGATGAGGGTGAAACATGATGGGCTTGGAGGCGCGATCCACACAAAATGAAGTCATTGCTGCACGCTATCATTAGGTCAACTCGAGTAATCTAAGCTTGCAGATGTTATAGCTTCATGTTTGAAAGTGATTACGCGATAAAGTTTTCAATGCGCAATGGTGGTGTAATGATGTGATGTGACAACTACAAATTAAACTTATTTGTGTGAATCGTCCTTCAGCTGCTAACTGAAATCTAAAATTACAAACTTTCCTACAAGGCATAACCCTTTCAAAATCACTTTTCACGCCCTTTTGAAACGTCGTCTGAGATAAGAAGCGGAAACAAAACAAAAAGTTAGCCTATCTTATTCCTAACTAAGCCTAAGTCAGTCTGCCTTTATTCATCGAATGGTGAGTTCAAAAAGGGTGCAGATTGGGCGTGTTACTCCCAAGCCGGTCGACACGTAGCAAGCAGAGCGTATATCTACTTACTATTTGGTATTACAAGACTATTTTAATATGGATTGCAAGACTATTTTAATATGGAAATTTTACTTGTGTAAAAATTAGTACTGAAATGACGATGTTCTTGTTATGGAATTTGATTTTATTTGGGAACATTTAATTTGAAATAATTCAAAGCAAATAAAGGTTCGACCAAACCAACGCGTGCATCCGCTCGCGTGCGCGATGGCGATAGCAATGGCGATCAGTAGTATCGCCATCGCCATCTTCATCGCGCACGCGGGCTGCACGCGTAGATTTGGTCGAACCTTTCAAAGTGACTGATTCTGAACATTGTGATTGCTTTAACTCTGTAATGCATTCGATATCGTGCGATACCGTATGCACCCAGGCTTTGGGGGCGTGTCGAGCGTCTCCAGAATAGCCCACGCATCCGCTGGGGAGCCGGGCAACCCATCTCTGTGGCATTGCCGCGGCTGACTTACCTACACTTAGCACTAGCTTACGACTAAGCTTACGATACTAACTTCGTGCTTGGCGTATCTTTTTATTAATGTATCATTCCACGATTTACTCTTCTAGAAATAGATATGAAACATATAGAAACAGTCAACAAAATCAATTTTTTACTGCATGAAACACACAATAAAAAGATGGACTTCTCTACTTCAATATGACTCATACATCTCTTGAGGGACAAGTCGTGGAAAGAGAATTCCAACTTAGCGAAAACATCGATATGAAGAACAAAAAAAACTAGGTTTGCGGTATAAATGACCAAAAATTAAATTAATTTTCACACACTATTATCAGCAAAAAAATACTTTTCGGAATGTGAATGATCTTTTAGTTTTCCAAATAAAATACTGGAAAAGAACTAGTAAGAGACACCAAGTACAAAGTATTAAACCTAAATCCAGCCCGACAGCAAATACAATCGTCATCGCGTTAGGAATGTTATTAAGAAACTATTTCATCGAATTGGCAATGCATTATTTGAATGCCAAATGTTGGCTTCATAAAAATTTTGACAGGTCTCTTTGTATTTGCTGTCGAGTTACAGAATCTTATTAGGGGTGGAGATATTTCTCTCGTAGTCATCAAGTCCGTGGTTTTAGTAGTGAATCACTATGAACGCAATTTTGAAAAGAACACTGGAGTTGGTGATTGCGTGGGATGTTTTTTCATAGTGAACACCAATAAAGCAGTACTGATGAAAGTACAAAATTACACAGTAGTAAATGAATGGTTTTATTGCTTATGGCAACTATTACAGTGAGCTTGAGTTCTACTCAGGCTTTGGTAGGTCGAAAGCACATCAGACTATTAATATTTGTTGCAAAATTGAACTTAATTACAACATGGCATTAAGATATGAAAGATAATGTTTGTTTAGCTTGTGCTGTCGTCTACAAACTACGCAAGCCGTCGCGTGTTCCGCTTTTTTCTTGGGAACATATCCACACAGGTATTAAAAAGTGATTACAGCGGACGTTTTGCAGCAATGTAGACGTATATCTATCTAACTTTACACATTTGTTTCAGGAAATAAGATGATACTGTTCAGTTTGATGAGCTGTTGTGTGTCGCCAGAATGTCACCTACCAGAAGCACTACTCAACTGACTTTGAACCTTACAACTAATGCCGATTTTCTATAATCAATTCTTCTTTATCCAATCCGTTCATCAACCGTCAAATTTCAATATGTTTTGGTCGAAATATCTGTGGTTTTCGATGTTTTTACATTTTCATATTGTTTATAAGACTATTTAAACAATATTAAAGTGTAAAAGCATAAAAAATATGGATATTTTATCCAAAAAAGATTGAAATTTGACAGTTGAAGGACAGATTTGGACAAAAATCGATTTTAGGGAAGCGCGACAGCAGCGCGGCAGCGGCGTTTTTATAATGTGAAGGCATGCATCCGCTGTCACATAGTATGAAATTATCGGCAACGCGTCTGTCGCGCGTTTGTTGCGCTGCTAAAGCCTTGATCACACGTACCGAGTAAACGGGCGAGACAGTAAAATGTTTACTCGGTCGAGACAATGAGGGCTATCGTTTTAGCGCTCACCAGTTAGCGCCACTGTAGAGTAAGGTCCTGTCACTTGCTAGTAGCGAAGACAGTGGCACCAACTGGTGAGCGCGAAAGTGGTAGGAGGACTATCGTATTTGCACTCATCAAGATGGCGCCACCGTAGAGTAAGGTCCTGTCAATCGCCAGGGGTGCCAACTGTTAAGTATAAAAACGATAGCCCTCATTGGGTGGTCACATATTCGAGCACTCGGCGTAATGTTCATACACACCGAGTACTCGGCCGAGAGCACTGTTTACTCGGTACGTGGGATCAAGGCATTATCTCCTAAATGTGAAAGCGCTCTAAGTCAAAGTTCAAAATCCTTTGGTGTAAATCAGCTTATGGTAGAGTCATCGGTGGAAGTGTCTGGTTCGTGCTAGGCCTGCGCGGGCGGCGGGTCGCGCGCGGCGAGGCACTCGTAGCCGTACTTGAGGATGTAGCCGAAGCGCGCGTCCTGCGCCAGCGCGGACAGCGCCGGCGCCGCTAATAGTTCCTCCGCGCCTGGCAGCACTAGCTCCACCTCGCCGCCTGGATTGAAGACGTTTATTATAATAAGGTACTTGACAAAAAGTATTTAAGACATGTGGACAACACAAATTCAAATTCAAAACGTTTATTTGCCAATTATTGTTTATCCTTTTTTTTTTTTCAGGAAAATACTTAAATTTTTACACCCACCAGCTACGGGGGCAGCTAGTGGGATATGTGGGGTTCTCCCAGCCAGAAGAGCAGGGGTTTACCCACTAAAATTGCCTAGTTTCGTTTCAGTCAATTGGAGTTCAAAGCGGCCCTCATCCAGCGCCTTCTTGCAACCTTTATACCAGTACCTTGTGGATGGGATTCACGCTACACTTGCCGGTACGTCGTCTTTCGAACGAGCTTATGATAGGTATGCGTTGAAATAGCTCTAGCGTCTTTTACCACTTATTTTCCAAATTATAATTATGCTTGATTCTAGGACTGGAAGACGTAGCGTGCGCAGGCCTCCCACTAGGTGGACCGACGATCTAGCGAATCTTTTTTGCGCTGTCACCACTGCCGCCACTCTATTTACTTGGTACGCGAGTGACGTTATCATAAGGAATATAATTTCTCGTCCTGTCTCCAGACATGCACTCACCCATGAGGTGCACGAGGTCGATGAGGCGGAAGAACAAGCGGCGCTGCAGCTCGTCGGCCGGCGCCTCCACGCGGCACGCCGCCCAGTCGTCGCGCACGATGCTCGCGCACCACACCTGCACACACAAATGATATACAACACACTTATCGGTGAGGGTGAGTGACAGAAATATTTTTATTTCTTTACATTTAAGAGTAGGCGCACACCGTTGATTTTTCGTCGGCCGATAGTTTAGTCGGGCTGTTGATCAGTATGGGCATGTATGGGAGTGCGCACACTACGCCGATTCGATTTGGCCGATTCTTCATACAAATTAAAATCGGGCACAACTATCGGCCAACTAAAAATCAACGGTGTGCGCCTACTCTAAGAGGGAACAGTATAGCCCGCAGAATTACGGAGGAACGGAATAGCTCATAGATATGATGGCCGTTGGGGCAGAAAGTTCTCGAGCCGGAAGACTTAGTGTGGACAGGCCTCCCACTAGGTAGACCAACGATCTGGCAAAGGTCGCAGGAAGAACCTGGATGCAGGCTGCGCAGGAAAGGTCGTTGTGGATATCCTTGGGGGAGACCTTTGTCCAGCAGTGGACGTCATTTGGCTGAAACGAACGAGAGAACAATAAGTGTAAACATAAGTCGACACCAGACGCATAGGCTCGCGAGGCACACTTGTCGTCTTGCTTACTCTGCTCTTGTATGAGCAGAATGTCGACCGTTCCTCGCGATCCCATCCACCCGGTGTGGACGTCAACTCNGTCAACTCGTCAACGTTTGTGTTTGCTTCCAGGGCCGAGGACTTGAAGTATTTGGCAACAATAGAGCTGGTTGTACACCAAGAACTAAGCAAGATTGGTTTCCATAATCGGTAGATTACCTTCATGCGCAGATCGTCGCGCCTCTCGATGTCAGGGACATAGTCGGTAAGGTCCAATGCTTTCTTATAGTCGTACTCTGTCAGGTTCTGGCCCTCTGCGTCGATGTACATCTATGAACAGACAATATAAAGTTACTACATTTGCAAATGAGATAACCGTATCGTATATAAAAGATCAACCTCTCTAGACAAAATGCACTTTTTGATCAAATCGAAAATAGAATCCGTCAAAACACCATACAATAAAATGGCTTTTAGACTGGTTTGCGATTATAAGTGCCACTTTGACGTTCAAAAGTGGTGTTCCACTTGTGGTCTAAACTGAATAAATATTTTTGGTTTTGATTATAATTTGCACTTTGTTTAGACCCATAGTGTGTTTACCATGAGTTTACGTTATGTATGCTCGCTAGCGACTGCGTACAAAAATTATATTCAATGTATGACAAATTGTACAGCGCCCCCAGCGGCTACTTTCAAGAACAAAAATCTCCATAGATTTTTTGCGAGCATACCTATCGTAAACGTCATATTTCTCTTAGAATGCTGTGCCCGACAGGGTCCATAATTGTATCTTATAAAACCATATACATACCACCTCTGTAACATTATGGATGCAATTAAGAATTGAGTATTGAGTAAACTTATGGTAAGCACACAGGATATTTTCGAGAGAATTTCGGGAATATCAAGTGTTTGTTGTGACGTAGATATTTCACCTGGATCATCTCCTCAGGCGGAATAACTTTGGTGTCTTCCGCGTCCAGGCCGTAATGCAGGCGGATGTCGCGCGGTAGTGCGGCGTGCTGGTCGCTGAGCGCCAGGCACGTCTCCACTTTACGCCGCGTCTCGGCGGGCTGGTTCTCCGGCTCGTCGGATGCCAGGATACACAGCTTGGCTAGGGATGCCATGGTCTGGAAGAAAGTGAGCATATTTTTGAATAATTGTCATCATCAGCCCAGAGCAGTTCATTGCTGGACATAATAATATAGTTGAATTTGATTGAATTGAATTCTTGGCTTGTTGCAATTAGCTTCTTCTAGAAAGTTGTAGGCAGACGGTTATTTACTAAAGCCTGATCCGTGAGCACGTAGAATCCCGTCCAACGCGCGAGCGATAAGGATGGGTAGCTTGGGGTCATTGGACGGCATTCTACGTGCTCACGGACCAGGCTTTAGCAATATTGTGCCCCATTTGGCTTTAGCAATACAGTGCCCAGGGCACTTACGTGCTCTACATTTCCTATGGATGTTTCTTACTAGCTCTTAAATATGGTTCAAACTCCTATGTTCTTGTGATTAATTTCGTCAAGGCTCCTGTGTAGCCAGGCTATTCAAGTTTCAGCAGTGGGAACGAGAACTGGGAATAGTCCCGTAGCTCCTAAATGTTAACTCTAGCACCAAAAACAGAAATAATCTCTGTATGACCTAATGTCTCTAGATCTTCACTCATAACAACTCGTGTCATTTTATGGATCAAAACTTACAAAAGTAGGCTTAGAAATTCTGTAGCCCTTGACATTATGAGCTAACAAGTAGCCAGTATACTCACAGTCATCCTATTAACCGAGTCCTGCTCCTCGCCAGCCAGCTGCGCTAACGCCGGCGCGGCAGCGCTGTAGTCGCGCGCCGTCAGCCGCTGCAGCGCTAATAGATGAGCTCTGGTGGGCGAGGCCTGCAGCCAGGCCGTCAGCTTGGAAGCTACGTTGGGCCGCTCGCAGCGCACCAGAGCGGAGACTAGAGGCCCGCCGCCGTCCACGATCTGAGCGAATGCTAACTCGGCCACGCCCTGCAAGGATTGAGACGCTGATAAAATGTTTCAAAGGTACATAATTACGTCATTGGTTGTTTCTCAATGCCAGTTATTTACGCTCACTAGTTTACGCAAATGCGACAATTCACCAAATAACGCCAATGTCTTCACCACTAACAAGTGACAGTGATTTTACTATACAGTAGCGCCATCTAGTTGTTGAACTATGTATTTCAATGTAATGAGTTGTCGTTACACTGAAAGTTTGAGACAGCAAAATTATTGTCACGCTTATTCATCATCATCAACAGCCCTTTAATGCTGGACTATGAGCGGGTTGGAATTCTCAGTTTAAAAGACTGATGTTTTTCAGAGAGCGCTGCTGCCCGTTCTTTGTTTGATGTGTAGTCCTTAAGTCGCCTCTTTCGACACCCGCGGTAAAAGTAGGGGTTGGTGACAAATGTATTCTACTCTGCCGTCACTACACGGCTTATTCATCACCCTTGCTCAATGTTGCATTACGTTTCCCATTTCAGATTACATGGCGTACAGAAGAGTCACGAACACCAACCTCGCTGGGATACTTGTCGACGTATGCGTAGAGGCGCGGCAGGTCGGCGGCGCGCACGCACAGCTCCACCAGCAGCTGCCACTCGCGGAACTTCTCCGCCAGCACCGCCGCGCGCTCCGTCAGCCCCTCCTCCACTGCACAAGTAAACATCAGTTCAGTCGTGTGTTAGAATGTAGGACCTTTTGGCCGCTTGTACACGCCAAGAAGTCGCCGGGCCTCCGCAAGAATTTGTGACCGAGAAAAAATTCTTGTCTGCGCTAGATACCGACACGCGGCGGATGCGCACTGTGTAACAAATTTTCGTAGCTAGCTCCGACGAAATTCTTGTCTTGTCTGCGGCAGACACGGTGAAATTTCTTAGCGTGTACAAGAAGCCTAGCGTATAGGACCTTTTCGAGACTCTTTAACGTCCCAAATATAGTTTGATAGAGATGGTAGGACCCTACACTTCCGTCGGCTAGCGCTGAGAAGTGGACCTTTATCAGCCTCGATCTCCAGCCGGCTCATCCTCGGCATTTATCAGGATATAAGATTAAGTTCTGTGGATACTTTATTAAACTCTAATGGCGTCAATTTATTCATACCCCACTTCCTGATCAGAAAATAGTGTTAAGTTCTGTGGATGCTTTATTAAATGATAACGGCGTCAATTTATTCATACCCCTACTTCCTGACCTCAACACTGTCATGTGATTTCTTTTTGTGCTATTTAGTCCTTTTATTGTAGAGCCCAAAGTAGTAATTTGAATTTCTTAACAATGTAAGTACGAGTATGATGATAAATAGGTATTTGAAACTATTTGATATTTAGGCTTAGTTGCACCACCTATTTTAACCGTGAGTAAAACCATAACCGGTGTTTTCTGTATAGAGTTAAACAGACTTTTGACGTTTGTTAAAGTTATAATAAGGTGATGCAATCCAGCCTTATAGTTTAGTCATAGTAATGTTAACATATTTTCGTCACATATCATAATTCCTACCCTACCACTCCCACACCTACCCAAGCTGGAAATTCAGACTTCTGTTCAGATTCCAAGGTTCAGAGATTGGTTCCGTGCTCTAAACAGACGGTCCTGAAGTAACACAGTGCGAGCTCCGAGGCCGAGTTCCGTGACCCAAGGTTCCTGGCCAAGTGTTCCGCGATCGTTGTCGAGTCCGAGTTCCGCGCCTGAGTTCCGAAGGCCGAGTTCCGAGTCCGAGGTGCCGACTGAATGTGCTTAGTTCCTCTACGGGGCCGAGTTCAAAATCGAAGTTCTGCGGAACAGTAGCAGATTCTGAATTCCCAGCTTCATGTTTCCAGTTGTTAAGTCCATAAACCAACCATACTTCCATATCCATCCACACCCATTTCATACCACACCTTTTACTGCATATCTGGAGGTAAGTGGGATAGGTGTGTGATGTTGCTTTAGGCATAGGCATTAGGTTCTTGTGGCAGTGAACTGGTGCAGGAGAGGTGGTGTTTTTTTATGTCAAATGCTGCAAGATTTTAAACGTGTACACTGTGACAAGTCTGATACGAAGTCACATATTATTATATCACCACACCTCTGCCACAGGAACCTAATTAATTCCCTTTCTTTTATTTGGCGTTCTCTTATTTGGTGCTACTTTTATAAGATTGACGGTTCAGGGTGGATTTCTTTTGGATAAGCCGTTGCATAAATATTTTGAGGTATTCGTTTCGCTTTTGTCTCAGCTGGAGAAGAAGCAGGCGTTTGCAAAAATACTCAAATTACTACTTTGGGTTCTATAAATTAATAGATAACTAACAGCCGGTCCCTATGGACATTTTGACACCTGCACATTCCAACCGTTGAGCGATTTTTCGCATTGACTACCCACTCCCAGAATGACATAAGTAGTAAAAAAGAAATCACTGTTCAAACGGTTCGTAGCCGACGACGCATCGCCGCGTCATCTGATTCTGGTAAAATACCTTCGACAATGTATGGGAGTTCATACTTCATAGAAATACAGAAAACAATAGTGTCGCGGCGATATATCGTCGGCTACAGAATTATTCCTTCACGAAAACTCACACTAGATAGGCATAGGGTACTGCGGATGTCCGCAACGGAAGATAAAGGCTAAGTTTAGATAGTAGCGCTTCGACGCGCGCAGAGATTCTAAATTATTGCTTAGAATATGATAATTTAGAACGTCTTATGGTCCTACTCTCGCTCGCGGAAGTACGCCTGTGGACGCTTATGGCTCGGTTTCCACTAAGGCGGAGCGGAGCGGAGAAGTTTATCATAGAATTATTATCATTATTTCCACTTCTCCACTTCGCTCCGCACAGTTCCGCTCCGCTTTGGTGGAAACCGGACTTATCGGTCCTTATGTAACTGTCCAATACTCAACGGACAGTGGCTTCCTTGTCCCCCACTGGTGGACATCAGGGATCTTGGTGCAGTCCTGTTCAGTCCAGGTTTTTAGGGGGGTTGGAAATCCTACTGGGCCAAACAGGAGGGACAACAGGACTGCACCAGGACCTCGTACTCACTGAAGGGGCGGATGATGTCCTGGCTGAGCTTGTCGTGCACGTGGCGCGTGTGCGGCGCGCGCAGCGGGGCCGCGTCGGACAGCAGGCGGTCGGCCAGCGCGCCCGCTGTCTCGCACAGCTGCCAGCGCACGTTCGGATCCGGGCAGTTGTGCGCCGATTGCCTGTGTTGTAAGTTAAGTCATGAGGGAGGAACTAAACTAGAGGGAGGTTATCTATGGCCACGCCTACCGTGACATAGGATATGACTGAAACACTAGTTAGGCAAATCAAATCATTTATTAATTCATAAGTATAGATTTCCTTCTCGTAGTCTTTTTTTCTCCTCGCGCTGTACCACGCCGCGTAGTCCTGCCTCCAGGCACTAGATGGCGCTGTACTACGCCGCGTAGTCCTGCCTCCAGGCACTACATGCCGCTGTACCACGCCGCGTAGTCCTGCCTCCAGGCACTAGATGGCGCTGTACCACGCCGCGTAGTCCTGCCTCCAGGCACTAGATGGCGCTGTACCACGCCGCGTAGTCCTGCCTCCAGGCACTAGATGCCGCTGTACGACGCCGCGTAGTCCTGCCTCCAGGCACTAGATCTTCTTCTAGGCTTCTTCTCATAGTCTACTTCTCTTCTTCTCGTAGTCTTCTTCTCTTCTTCTCGCTGTCTTCTTCTCTTCTTCACGCAGTCTTCTTCTCTTCTTCACGCAGTCTTCTCTTCTTCACGCAGTCTTCTTCTCTTCCTCACGCAGTCTTCTTCTCTTCTTCACGCAGTCTTCTTCTCTTCTTCACGCAGTCTTCTTCTCTTCTTCACGCAGTCTTCTTCTCTTCTTCACGCAGTCTTCTTCTCTTCTTCACGCAGTCTTCTTCTCTTCTTCACGCAGTCTTCTTCTTCTCGTAGTCTTCTTCTTTTCTTCTCAGTCTTGTTCTTCTTTTCTTCTCGCAGTCTTCTTCTCTTCTTCTCGCAGTCTTCTTCTTCTCGTAGTCTTCTTCTTTTCTTCTCAGTCTTGTTCTTCTTTTCTTCTCGCAGTCTTCTTCTCTTCTTCTCGCAGTCTTCATCTCTTCTTCTTGTAGTCTTCTTCTCTTCTTCTCGCAGTCTTCATCTTTTCTTCTCGCAGTCTTCTTCTCTACTACTCGCAGTCTTCTTCTCGTAGTCTTTTCTGCATCTCGTAGTCTTCTCTTCATCTCTTAATCTTTCCTTTTCGTAGTCTTCTCTTCATTTCGTAATCTTATCTTCTTCTTGTAGTCTTCTCTTCTTCTAGTAGTCTACTCTTCTTCTCGTAGTCTAATCTTCTTCTCGTAGTCTTCTTCTTCTTGCACTCTTCTCTTCTTCTAGTAGTCTTCTCTTCTTTTCTTCTTCTCGTAGTCTTCTTCTTCTTGCACTCTTCTCTTCATCTAGTAGTCTTCTCTTCTTTTCTTCTTCTCGTAGTCTTCTCTTATTCTCTTAGTGTTCTCTTCTTTTCTTCGTAGTCTTTTCTTCTAATCTTCACGTAATCTTCTCTTCTTTTCTTCGGAGTCTCTTCTTCTTCTCGTAGTCTTCTCTTCTATTATTTCGTAGCCTTTTCTTCTCGTATCCTTTTCCTCGTCTTCTCTTCTTCTCGTAGTCTTCATCTCTTCGTCTTCTTCTTCTCATCGTCTTTATCTGTTCTTCTCAAAATGTTCTCTTTTTCTTGTCTTATTCCCTTCATGTCGTAGTCTTCTGTTCTTCTTGTAGCCTTCTCCTCTTCTCCTTTCTTATCCTCATTTTCTTTTCTCTTCTTTTCGTCTTCTTCTTATCTCCTACTCGACTTTCTTTTCGTCATTTTCTTCTCGTCGTCTATTTTTGTCTTCTTCCTAAAACCAAAGCGAGTCGGCGACAGTTGGGCGTCGGGTAGGTAACCCTGTGGCTGCAGGTTAAATTCCAGCCGCGCGGTCCTAACCGCTTTTTTTAGGATAAAGATTGAAATGAATTTCGGTTTCGCTCGGTACGAAATTAATGCAAAAACCGTTAGAGTATATTAATAACGGTATTTTTCAAACTGGTTTCAAGCCTTGCTACTAAAGACGCTTTGAGTAACTACAACTAAAACGGGAGTATTCCCACCTCCCGTTCCCACCGCTGCAACTCCTGTGTAGCCAGGATCTACAGCTTGATCGCCAATAAAAACCCAACTAGTGAAGGTCAAGTTTGACTCGAGGATAACAACTAGTTGAATCTCTAACATGTATGGTTTTGAGAATAGGTTGCATCAAAGCCTAGCCTAGCCTAAGGTCGCCTTCACATTAGGGCGTAAGAAGCGCGACAGCAGCGCGTCAGAGGCATTTTTATAATGTGAAGGCAGGCATCCGCTGTCATGTAGTATGAATTTATCGGCAGCGCGTCTGTCGCGTGTTTGTCACGCTGCTATCATCATCATCATCATAATAATCTCAGCCATAGGACGTCCACTGCTGAACATAGGCCTCCCCCAATGCTTTCCATGTTGCCCGATTGGTAGCGGCAGAGTAAATACAAATGAGTACAGAAACGCACCGAGCGCGGTTTGTATGTGAGCGCGCCAATATACGTATGCGGCGCGCACGCGCACACTGACAAAATTCGGCGCAACCTATTCCGCAAGCCAACCCTTGGCAAAAGCTAAACAGTAGCTGTACCAGGCCTGGCTCACTCCGCGCGGTACATCCGATAATTACCTACAGCTACAGCGAAGCGCCCCGCCGGCGGGTATTATATCAGTCGAGTGTCACGCGCGCGCTCGTCAGGACACTGGCGTGCGTTGTAGTATGATTATAATTCTATGATCGAAGTATTATTTAAAAATGGACATAAAGAGAAAGAAATATTGTATAATACAGCAATCCTAACAGCGTAAAAAGAGTTCAGAAGCACGCGATAGAAAGAGACAAAACTTGTAGGTGAATAAAATTGTAGGTACGTAGTGCTGTGCGAGCTGAATTCCACTGTATCGCGTCGTAGCAAGACTCGCATTTATTTAAATCGTCTTGCGGAGTAATCCTTCTGTACCTGTACTATTACTTATTCTGTGGCTGTACTCACGTGAGAGCCAGGCGTAGCATCTGTACAAGCGCGGGCAGCAGCGCGCGGGGCCCGAGCGGCGGCGCGGGCGCGGGCGCGGCGCCGCACACCTCGGCCGCCCACGCCGCGCGGCACTTGTGCGCCTCGCCTAGCACCGTCTGCGAATAAATAAGTTTTTCATTTATTTCTCCTTCTTCACTTTTTTTATGTTCTACGTTTTTATGGAGATACGTGCGTGGGTTCAAAAACTGAACTCCGACAAACGTTACTTCGACATTACGTTACTCCGACACTACTGAATATCGACATGACTACTTCGACACTACACTACTTAGACAAAGGCGAATATCCTTTGTCGGAGTAGTGTAGTGTCGAAGTAAAGTCATGTCGATATTCAGAAATGTCGGAGTAACGTAATGTCGAAGTAAAGTTTGTCGGAGTTTACTTAGGTAGCCACGTGCGTGTTTTGTATACAGTCAGTCGAAGCTAATGCAGAAGTTCGCTAATATTTGTTCGCAATTAATTATTCACATATGAGGCTTTTTGTCATAATCTAGTAATCACACACGCGTCATGTATACGAGATGCCTATACATACGCAGAGTCGCCCGCTGTGGCGTTCAGTAGTGGACTTGTAGGGCTTACGCTAAAAATTGCACGGGTGCACAGAGCGGACGCCAGCGGCGGACGCCCGCTGAGACACTGGGGAAACATGTCACAAGTATGCGCTGCTCATACTATTTTTTTATAGTCTCCCAACTCTCTAAGACCGTCAATACACGGACAGCTCGAGCAGTTAGTCAGTGATCAACATACACGGACCGCTCTTGCAGTCAAGAGTCAACAGCTTGAAGCTGCCAGTGATAACTGCTCGAGCAGTTGGTATTAACTGCTCAACAAATCACAAGCGCGCGCGCCGTGGAATTAAGAAAGTGGGCGGAGGAAACTGCGCGAGAGCTGTCGACAGCTCGAGCAGTCAGTGTATGGCTGGCGACTGCTTGACCGCACGATGAAATTTCACCGTGCTGTCCGTTTATTCCCGATGTCCCCCACTATTTGTCCACCACTGGTGGACATCGAGAAAAAAAGTTGCAATGTCCACCAGTGGGGGACAGCGCTACTGAAATCTTCCCGTTGGGCCCTACTGGTGGACACTGAGAAGAAATGAGTTGCTCTGTCCCTCAGTAGTGGACATCGAAACCAAAAAAGTTCCGTTGTCCCCCACTATTTGTTTTGTTTTCGTGATTATTAAAAAATAAACATTTTTAATTCGTATCAAATACAATTCTCAGTGCATCTTATTTTTTTCTTTTTCTTTTTCAATTTGTCGTGCACTAGATTCTGATATTTCCGACATTATTACAGATAATAAGTGCAAAATAGTAACATCCCCCACTATTATATTTGTGTTGATGAATACAAACATTTTAAGTAAATCTTATACTTATTATAATTATTAATTATAATACATACATTTTTAAAGCATTTTTATTAGTTTAAAACAATCCTTAATTTATACTGACGCCCCTAGGAAGTGTGCGTTAATCGGAACGGTTTTGTCATTTTTAATTTTCCAAGTACCTACCCACAATGTTCATGTTATCAGAAATTATTGTGTCGGTAATGTTACTATTTTGCACTTATTATCTGTAATAATGTCGGAAATATCAGAATCTAGTGCACGACAAATTGAAAAAGAAAAAGAAAAAAATAAGATGCACTGAGAATTGTATTTGATACGAATTAAAAATGTTTATTTTTTAATAATCACGAAAACAAAACAAATAGTGGGGGACAACGGAACTTTTTTGGTTTCGATGTCCACCACTGAGGGACAGAGCAACTCATTTCTTCTCAGTGTCCACCAGTAGGGCCCAACGGGAAGATTTCAGTAGCGCTGTCCCCCACTGGTGGACATTGCAACTTTTTTTCTCGATGTCCACCAGTGGTGGACAAATAGTGGGGGACATCGGGAATAAACGGTGCTGTCGACCGCCCGAATCAGTTGCAACCGCTCGAGCGGTTTGTGTATGTGCGTCCATAGAACTCTGCAGTTCACTGTGCAGTCGCAGCTTGAAGTTGTCGACCCTGACTGCTTCAAGCGGTCCGTGTATTGCCAGCCTTACCCTAAACTAGTACTGTCTGAATGGGCGGTGATTATCTGTAGGCCCAGGATGCGCGCCGCGATAAGCGTTATCACGCCATTTTATCGATTTTGCACATACATTTTGACGCCGATAAAGTGTATAACGGCGCGCATCCCAGCTTGACACCTAATAATGCACGGAAATTCGTGAACGTCATACACATGCGCTGCTCTTACTATTTTTGTATACTCAACACGCGCCACGTTTTAGCTGAAATCCTAAGGGGTGTCTACAGAGTTGTAATAAGGTTCCAAATGAGCTACTAAAACACTCGTATACATACATTAATGATGTTCATGGAGGCGTGCACGTGCGCGGCGTGCGCGCGCGGGTCGGGCGTGGCGCGCGCGTGCGGCAGCGTGGCCAGCGCGCGCAGCACGCGGCCGATGCGCGACACGCGCCGGTAGCACGCGTCCGCCGGCGCCAGCGCGCCCGACGCTAGTGCCGCCTCCACTTCGGGCTCCTCTTCTACCTCGCCGCTGTCGCCGCACACCACCTGCGATTTTGAAAGGCATAGGTATATTAGTAAAACGTAGAACACAATCACACACAGTTATTAGCCTATGATGACATATTAACACTGTTAGGAATCTATAGCTAAACAATTTGAAGTTTTAAGCGTTCNTATTTTTTCAAAATTAGGCACTTGATTTTTGAGCGACGCTAAGTCTATGAAGCTCTAATATCAGCCCACCGTGCGGCGCGGGCGCAGCGAGACGGACACGTGGATGCATTTTGAATATCAATCACAGTACCAAGGCCGCCACAGATAGCAAACAACGTTTATTTCTGGACGGATATCGACTGACCCATAAATGGATATGCAGAAACCGAAAGCAGGAGACGTAGGTAGAGCTTCCTTGAAGAGAAACTAACTAAACTAAACCTTGCTTAGATGGTGCTAAAAAGAAAAAAATGGGTTCATTGGGGATATTTAAACTATAAAGAAATGATAAACAATTGGTTTAGAAAACAAAAGGGTTCCAGTTTTGATTTACAATTCGACCGACCAATGAATTTGT